TTTTTTAAAAAAAAAAAAAAAGGAAAAGAAAACCCCTAAAATCTAAAACCAGAAGCTAAGAAAGCTTGCTACAGGAGGACTATTCCACACCAGAGTGAAAATGTAGTTTTCTTAAGCATACAAACCCATTTCATTTTACTTCAGTCTAAAACCAGCCACTTTTTCCCCTTTTCCAGAGCCAAATACGGTTGTCATGGCAATTGTATATCTATGAACTTTTCCACAGAAAATCTAAATTTTTTCACAATTTGGATCACTTTTTGCTTACATGGTCTGTCTCAGAATATCCCTCCCCCAGAGACAACTACATCGGCGTAACAGATAATTGTACATTGGAGAATTCAGTTCTGTTCTGTCTACCAGTATCTCATAGCTAGAGATTCATAGGCAGCTGTAACATGTTGTTATCTTTGCCAAGAAAAGAATTTGGAGGGATATTTTAGTGTTTTGAGAGTCATTTGACTAATACAAAGTTTTATTCCTGGAAGGGATTGGACAGATTACCAGTAATAACATACAGTCTTGCCCTTCTGTGCCTCTAACTCTTTCATGACTGGCCTGATTCTCCTCATTGATTATGAGCATAAAAGTCTGGCGTAGATTCCCGTAAACAATGAGTCTGCACCAGTCTAAAGCTGGTGCAGCTTCAGGATCCTTGTGTCCTTTAGATGGAAGTACGCAAGTCGATTACTCAGGATGCAAACCGCTGCCCGTTAGGTTAATCTAACTGGATTCCAGTCCTGACACAAATCAGAAGGGAGCAATAAATAATCAGTGACCATGATGTACTTTGAGGATCAGAATGAGCAGAATGACTTGGTTACTTCCTCTTCCAAGAGATAACACTTATGATGATAGCTGAGAAATAGTTTCATCATATATTATGTGTGTTATCTTCATCTGTATGGGAGGGGAAGAGATCCAGTCTTAAGGTCTAGATTGCTACAGACCCATAACTCTCACAGACATGGAAGATAAAGCTTTTTGTTTGGGTAAATCAGCCCAGAGGTTTTTCAAACTCTGTATGAAAAAAAATCATAAAAAACATTGGTTCCAAAGAAACAAATTCTAAAGTAAGAATATTAGAACTGCATGTGGTCCCACAAACTAGAGAAATGAACAACTTGCATCCATCTGGGAGAGGCTGTAATCTAATTCCTTTCCACCATTACGTATAGTTGCTTCTGAGTTTAGCCCAACAAATATTTGGAAGGATTTTAAAGACTAGGATGTGGCTTGAATTAAGAAACCCTTCAATCTATTAGCAAGAGCCTTCACATTTTATGAGATTTAAGGCAAAACCTCCCTTTAAATATTCTAAATGTTTGCTGTGAAGGTACAGGCACAGAAATTAGGTTTCTGACACAATCTGAGTCAATGACAACCAAACAAGACCACAGACTTACTGTTTCCAAGTTCAGGATGTTAAAGATGGTGATAAAGAATACATATATTTTATGGGCAGATGGGAAAAAGAGGGCTGCAAGTGTGGAAAACAGTCAATCCACTTGGGTATCTGTTCTTTGAAGGAAGAAAACTATAGATGAACTGACCATTGTTGGAAGAAACATGAAAAATGTTTTAGGTACATCAGGAATGCTCATTTTTATCAAGCAATTGCCAGTCTGTAATGAGAGAACAAACTAGGCTTGCCAATAAGTGTAACCTTTCACAATGTGATTTGTTCTTCCTATCCATCTGTACACTCTAAGAGTAGTGTGATAACACATCTGCCTGTAGGCGCCAGGCTGGATTTCACTAAGTAGTGGAAAAGAAGGAGAACTTTTGGTATACAGAGTATTGGTGCCATAAGAAAGTTAAATACCTCAGATCCTCCTCCATACTAGAGAAGGAGAAAGAAATGTGAACGTGAGATAAAAATTAGGTGTACCAAGAACTGCTGTTACGTACTCAGTGGCGTCTTGAATACAAGGGGAATGTAAGGAAATAAAGGTTTATCTTTTATGAAGTGATATTTGCTTCTCTGACTACTGGTATAGTAATATTCTGAAGGCTTTCATCATAGGTAGACTTGTTTAAGTAAACTACATAGTGTAAATGTTGTACAGGTAGACTTGAACAAGTGACCTATATAATGTAAATATTTTACATTGATTTGTATAGTTACAAACAAGGGTAACATGGTCTATATTGTTTTTGAAAATGTTATGTGAAAAATGAAAAAATAAATTAATAAAACCCGAAACAAAGTGCTGGTGTGTGAGTTGGGTGGGAAGGAAAATGTGAGATGGCTCTTTGAGGGTGGCAGCCCTTTCCCAGGTAGGTATGATTTTTCCAGATCTCTGCTGCAGAGGGGCTTGTCCCCTGGGGGCGCAGTGACCCCTGCTCCGTGGGGCTGCGGGATGAGCTCCATCCTTCAGCCGCTTCTGCTCCCACCCTGCGGCTGTTCCTTGTCACACCCAAGGGAGACCAAACTCTGACAGGCCAAGCTCCCCTCCTGACTGCCACCACATTCATGGCTGTCCTTGCTCCGCAGTCCCCCAAGCATTTGGGCTTACTCTGGGCAGGTGGTTTGGGATGATCTTTCTCTCTCTGGTTACCAACTGTTGAAGCATTGGGTCCCTCCACTGATTTCTGGGGGGGGGGACTTCTGGAAATGTAGGTTAACACACTGTCACTGTGGGGATGTGAATTTAGATCTGTCTTATTCAGCTTCCCAAAGGCAAAATTTCTGTCTCCTTTTTTCAATTAAAATTAGAGAAGTCTGGTTGTCACTGTCTTTTGGGTACGTCCATCCTGGGAAGTTCAGAGTCATTAGCCTCAATGTACTTTGAGGAGAAAATGTCCTAATTCTCAAGGCAAACTGAGACTGAGGACTTGTACCAGTTTATAATCAGACCTGAAAAGAATACAATATCAGGCAACACCACTTGACATCAAGAATTCAGGGCTCTGCTCCACAATGTTTCTCTTCAGACAAATTAATGATGTAAGAGGGACTAGGCCACCTTGTTCCTGGGACTGTGTGTGTTTATAGCATTTGCCAGAGAGCTCATCTATCTGCAACAACTTCAAAGGAACATCTACAGAGGGGAAGAGACTGGTGTCCCATGGTCTTGGCATGAGTTAGCATCCAGGAGAGTGGCTGCTCCTGTGGAAGTAGTTCTTTTCAGGAAACATGAGTTCAGCTGACAATAATTTTCTTCTTTTACCCAGCATACGTGATCCTGATGTCAGCTATCCATCTAAATAGACAGCATAACCAATGTTTGACCAGAATAGCACCTAAAACAAAGTAAACATGTCATTTGAAGAGCACCAGATAGCTAGATCTCCCAGTTCACAAGCAAACCCCTTGAATAAATGTGGGAGCAAGTGGAAATAAGAAGTGGATCTGTGCACAGAACTGCTTGGCAGATCAAGATAAGGTTACATTTTTTTTATTCTAGTGGGGGAGGGAAGATGTGCATGCAGGAGGACAAGACATATGAAATACCATTGCCAGGAATAATGCTGTAAATATGAGAATAGTTGATGAAAGTGTTTGCAGACTCAAGTCTGCAAAGCAAGAGACCCAGGAGAGCAAAACAAAGTAAGAAATAGATCTTATATTTTGGAGCTGAGAATTCCCTGTCCACTCATAACCTTGGAGCTGCTAAAGATAGCCTAGGGTGGGGTGCCTCTCATCCAGCCTTCATGCAGCAGAAAGGAATACAGCTGGTCCAAGCTGGCCGTTGATGTTTCCTCTCCTCTCTGGTGCCTAAAATAAATGGGATGAATTGCCCTCTAGAGGTGGCTGTCTTTTTCCACCAGTTAAAGTGAGACGAATCCACCCTGGATTATGGGTTGTAGACCACTTGATTTCAGGTTATTAGAGAGGATTTAAGGCCAAAGACATGTAGTCAGGGCTACTGGGCTTTCTTGGGAAATGCTGGCAGCTCCCTGTGCAGAGCAAAGGACACAGGCTCACACTAAATGAAAATACTGTAAGAGACCAGGAGGCAGGCACAAAGGTATGTCCTGTGGGATCCAACATAAGAGACAGGCTGACGATGTCCGGTCAATGCCTTGGAAAAATGTTTGTGGCTCATGGACCACGCGGTCGCAAAGTGCCACAGCTATCATGGGAAGAAAAGAAAGAGCCGCCGTCTGTGTGAGGCTGAAGTACACAGGGCCTTCCTGGGACCAGGAGGAAGACTACTGTGCGACTGCAGGCAGGCTGGGGGCTCTCAGTGCATGCACGGGGCAGTGGGGTCTGCTCAGCCCTGCCACCACCCTCAGCCAGCTCAGCCCCCACTGCTCCTAGCAGGGACTGCTGGGCAACAGCAGTAGACCGGAAAAAATATTGTTATGTACAAATGAAATACCATAAAACCAGCCTGCTGCCAGTGGATAAACACAGGCTGTTGATAAGAAAACCACTGTATATATATATATATATAAAAATATATAAAAACCTCATTAGTCTGTCTGCTTTAGTGTGTCCTTTGCACTGGAAATTATAGTCTGTATCAGTCTATACATTCGCTAGTAAACACAATGTAAAGAGCTTAATAAAGCAGATGAAATATAGCACCAGTCAGTTTTCAAGAAGGACATATCGTTATCTTCCTGAAGTTCCTCAAGGGAAAGCCAGGCACCTAATAGTAACAGGGAAACTTTTTAGAACTCACACAGATCCAAGCTCACTTGTTAGAACTTGGGAAATTCTTCCATCACAAAATCTTTAACTGCAAAGTGTAGTTGTTGTGTGCCCCTCCTACCAATTTTAGTTTTTTGCACCAGTCTAAATTGCCTCAGAACCTGACAACAACTTCAGATGTAAACAGCAAACTCCTTTGTAACATGTTGAAAAGTTGATGTCTTTGTCCTGACGAGAAGTGAAGGTCCTCTCTTTCTCACTGTTTTTACTGGTTTGTCATC